TGATACGTATACGTACGTACGTACAGTACAGTAGCCAACAAAAGTAACGCCCGATAGTTTTTTTTATAGTAAAACATATAAAAAATTGAAATTTATATAAATGTAAAAGTCAATATTCTATGGATTAATAAATTTGTAACCGCGGTTACTGTAACCGCATCCAATAAAGCCAATCAAAATTTAAGATCAGGTGTAACGTGAAATCAAAACAAAACCAGTTTTTTTAAGAAATCGTTAATAACTCAAAATTTTGACTATAAAACTATCATTTACGTTCTAACAAAAAAAATTCCTTGCTAAATTTTGATATAAACTATGCCCTTTCCCACTCCAAGCCTCACTCTAACCCTAACCTTAATTGCAAAGTTTTATTTTTATAAAAAATAATTGTTTTGATAATTATGTTACACCTGATCTTAATTACGGTTACAGTAACCTACGGTTACAAATCAATTAATCCATATTCTATTTATTTAAAAAATTTTTTTTTAATACTATTAGTAAATTCAATACTTATATTTTATAATATATGAGTTTCATCGAGGCAAACAAATAGAGATTCTTCAAAAAATAATTATAAAATTTACGATTTAAAATTTCATATGTAAAACATATAAAATTTGTAAATTTGACTTTAAAATTAAATATAAAATCGTAAAAAATTTTTTTAAAAAAATTTAACTAAAATTATTAAAGTAGTGGCAAAAAAAAAATTATTTTTATAAAAAATAGAAGTTTGAATATGATAAAAAATTTCCTAAAAAGGAATTTATATATAATTTACTATGAAATTGATCATATCGGTATATTTTTTTTGAAAAAAATTTCCTTTTAATATAAACTATATAAAAGGCAATAACGATAATGCAATAATTTTCATGTCAATAGCAATCTATTGTTTACAGTATTATGTGCCACAATTCCAACTGTGGCAAATTTGTAATTGTAAAACCTTGTGTTGCCGAAAACTATCTTCCGAACCCCAAAAAAAATTACAAATTCAACCTTTTTAAAAAAAAAAACTCGAATTTCTTCTTTTCAATCTTGTAATTCAATATTCAACTTTGCAAAAAGTAAATACATATATCAAGATTTTTTTTTAAAAAAAATGACAAGTTCTACATTAAAAAATCGCACTACTACCTCTTCTCAGCCTACCGAGTCCTCACCTTTTACCCCAGATAATGACCAAATTAGCCTGATCTTCTCAACTAAATATACATTCAATGTCAAAAAATCAAATATAAATTACAAAACATTACCGAAATTCATTAGCGATACTTTACGTTACTTAAATACATTTAATTATCCTTATGAAATGTTTTATGTTGAAAACGGAAAGGAGATTGTGGCTAAGTCGACGAACTCGGATACGATGAGAATTTTGAAGGGAATTTGTGAAAGTGATACAAAAGATATTGATAAAGTCTATTTTCTTGCTGATAAGGAGGTATGAAAGGCAATTTCAATAAATTTTTTTCCAAAGATAAAACAAAAATATTCATTACCTTTTTTTTGGCGGCTGATATACATACCCCCAATTTTGTTATTCATGCCCCACAAAATTTAAATTTTTTTCTACCTTTGAGCAAAGATATCCCAGTAACTTTTTGACCAAATTCTGATTCTAGATATGTAAAATCAAATTTTGAACTTTTTCAAAACTTTGAGCGAGTTATCTCAGTATCTATCTAACAAAATTCGATAAACTTTTTTTTTCTTTAATTCTGCAGATTTGTAAAATTAAAACAAAAAAAAGTTTATTGAATTTGGTTAAGCAGTTGTCGAGATATCTTTTCTCAAAATTTTATCTATTATTTTGATAGACGTTTTAAATATTTTGAAACTTTGAGTGAAGATATTTTGGTAATCACTTAACCAAATTCGATGGAATTTTTTTTATGTTGATTCTACTTATCTGTAGAATCAAAATAAATAAAAAAATTATTAAATTTGATTAAGAAGATACTGAGATATCTTTGCTCAAAGTTAGAAAATATTTTAAATTTTGTGGGTGTATGAATAACAATATATCAGCCGCCGCCTTTTTTTTTTTTTTTATGATCTAGGGTGGAATCAAAACTTTTATGTACTATAACGTTGATTTCATATTATTTATTACATTATTATCATGTCTCATTTGGTTGACTATTACCGGGTCTTACGAAGCCCAGATGGCATCATGTTTTTTTGGAATTTTCTTAGCTTTGAGAATGTTTAGATATATTCAATAAAGCATTTTATTTTTTCGAATAATATATATATAGGTTTTAAGATGAAGTTAACAAATGCAATATATTAGCGTTTTTCAGTTAAAAATAAAATTAATATAAATAAATATATCATTTTTAGCTCTTGTAAATATTGGTATTTATTCCATGATAGATAAAAGATTTATTTTTACGTTTGAAGAGAACTTTTGCTTGAAAGCCCATTAATGAGAACTAATTAAAATTATGACCGTTCTTTATCGGGTTTGATATTACGTACACGGTTTAAAGAGAGCAGTTACCATTTAGTTTATTACTTTTCGTATAAATCGTATCTAAATATAGTACCCAGTTCTAAGGTACCTTTCCACATTAATACTATATATATATATATAGTTTAAAAAAACTATAAAAAGTGTTTATAATTTGTTTGAAAAAAATATAAATTTGGTTGTAAAAAATAAAATTTCGTATAAAAAAAGTAAAAAAAGTGAATTTTTTCACTTTTTTACTTTTTTTCAGCAAAGGCAAGAACAAAAGGCCAAGAAATTTTTAAAATCTGGTCATCTTTCCATCCTTCCTCCTTCTCAAGTTCCTCAAACAACTTGTCAATTGGATCTTCTACTTTCTGGTTTTCTTTTTGATACTTGGACATATAATTCTTGTAAGAACTCCATGTCTAATAAAAAAATAAAATAAAATAAAACCATATACATGTATCTAAACAAAAAAATTCAATTGATACATTTTTTGAACTCACCCTTATATAGTTCTTAAATCGCTCAACACTCCATTCTTCACTTAAAAGGCTTTCACCATTACTCATTTGTCCTTCTTTCTCATCAAATTCATATCTTTTCCAAATAATATTTCTAAACAATTTATCAGGAATCACAACTTCTTTATACATATTATCTACCACTAATCTTCCAGGATCCCAATAATCTCCCAATGTCTCTACCCCAAGTTTCATACATTTTTTCGTAGCAGTTGGGTATCCATTGATAACATTGAATGAATACCCCCAAAAAGCCAATGTTCCACTTTGTTTCAAAACTCTCCATACTTCCTTAAAAAATTTTTCTCTATCGAACCAGTGAAGTGCTTGACCTATTGTCACTAAATCAAATGTCGAGTCTTGAAATTGGGAAAGGTCTTCAGCTGTACTAACCGAATATTGAATATTTGAAGAGCGAAAGGCTGATGAAAGCATAACTGGTGAAATATCAGTAGCATACACTTGTTGAAATTTTTTTGATAATTCTTTGGCGACGTAGCCAGTACCAGTTGCAATATCTAATGCGGTGGAAAAAGACGAGGAATGTGAGGCATGATAATCATAAACTTTTGAGTAAAGTTGGGATGGATACCTAAATTTTAAGATTTAAAATAATTAATTTAATTTCCTTTTTATTGATATGTTTAAAAAATTAACTAACGTAGGACGATAAGCATTGTATGCGGTACTATTATAGTCTGAATCAGCAAAAGTAGTAGAGTTTTCTCTATCGCTATTAATATTAATATTAATATTATTCGTGGTAGACATTGTAGAAAAACGGGTTAGATAAGGTGCAATTCTTTTCAAACTTTTCTTTACTGTACTGTATAATTTACTATGTATGATTGTATACATGATTGTGTATAATAGTTTTCAATTTTCTCTTTATATATGCACTATTGTGCATTTATTGTGAGTAATTTTTAAAATGGTTTAGTCATTATTTTTAGTGAGTCATTCTCATTAAATACCTTATTACTAACTAAGAACCTTATAATGGAAATGATCGACATACATGCGACGATAACTAAAACAAATTTTCAATTATTGAAACCGAATTATAAAAATGTTTGGCAATAATACCGATACGTAGAATGACGACGCTATTAACCTTTCCCAAATTTGATTCATTGATGAATTACCCTTTTGATGACTGCCAAAACAAATATCATTAAACCACAGTCCATTAAACAGTCCGTACTGTATTTCTATATATATATGTGAATGGGGTATTTAATATAGAAACTTTTTATCACAAAATCTATACTTAATTTGGAATTATATAAGCTAAAAAAAGAATAATTAATTGAACGAGAATTTGGAAATTTTTAAGAAAGAGGTGTACTTTGATGAATTGATACCATCTCATGATACAATAATCGTATCACATACATATATCACTATCTCATCAAAGAGACATCTCGCGACCTATGATTAGATTCGACTTCCCCTCACTGAGAGGAATCAAATGGTATAAAAATCACTCAAATACATTCGCTATATCACGAGATACATCATTAGAATACTTCGAAAGTCATTTATCTTATGATCTTGTAGTTGAATTTTGTACCATTAGAATTCTCTCAACGAGAAGAATCGAATTTGACTAGATCACGAGATACATCGATTCGTCACAATGTCTACATACTCCATTATCGTTATTTTAAAATTTTTATAATCTTTTGTTTTTTTTATTAACAATTTTACTCTAATTACAAAAAAAACCAGTTCTGTTTTTAGTAATTTTACCATAAATGTGAAATGATTGACTTTTGGGGTAATAAATATGTCTTAATTAGGAATGGGCCATTAAAAAAAAATAACCAATTAGCGGGATTATTATACCTGAACATCAAAATATTACGACATCGTGCTGTAAGAGGTTTTTCGGACGCCAAATTAGATAAATCAGCACACTGGATGTTCGATCTGTTGATAAAAAAAAATAAAATTTTTTTTTAATAATTAACCATCCGGTTTTTCTTTCGCTAGGTATACGGATAATAACAATGTCTTTCAGAGATAAGATAAATTTTTATAGTGTTCTCGATCGATTGATCCCTCCTGAGATACTAAATCAGGGTAAATTATGATAAATTTTTTTATTTCTGAATTTATATCCCAAGAAATTCATCACATTTCATCATAGTTTTTCCTTTAAGAGCTATTAATAAAGCTTGCTTATTCATGATTAAGGGACTATTTCTGTCTGATTTTTTTGTCTTTCAAGAAATAATTATTATTTATGTAATTACGTTCTTTTGCTGATACACTCTCGCTTATTCTTGATTATTATTTTCGATAATTGTTCCATTGATTCTATCTTTTGTTTTTTTTTTACAAATCACGATATTTAATATTCCTATTTTTTGTTAGATTATGATAAAGACTATTTGGCACGACGTAATTTATTGCAAGCGCGTGCCGTTGTTATTGTCACAGTATCAGTATGCTTCGCTCTTATTTTACAGCTCTTAATGGATCTCTATCTGATATTACTTAATGGATCAATAAATAAATCTGAATTTCCTTGGCCAATTACTTTACTCGGTACCACTCTCTATATTGGTAGGTTGAATATTATCGATCAATGTTACTATTGAGTTTTTATTTTCTAAACGTGTTTATATTTATTTTCTTTTATTTTACTGCGCTATCGAATTTTCGATAATTTTTTCACATGATGTTGATAGCGATGTTATACTTCATACCAAGTGGCAAAATAACAATTGTTCAGGCTGCCAAATTTGGCGTTTATTTTTTTTTGTTAATATCTATATATATCTCCTGCCTTGAAAATGGTATGTGTATTTTGTGTATGCTATTGATATTCGTTTTTTTTCTTAATCTCTTTTATTTTCGTATTCAATTAAAAAAGGATTCCAAACTTTGAGTCATGCAAACTTTTTTGCTGTTCCTCCTTTTGGGTATGTTAATCTATCTATAATATCAATCTGTTATGTTATATTCATATAAACTAATAATTCATAATTCATTTTAAGATATATATTTGTTTCCAAAAATTTTGGAAGAATGACTACAATTATAGTCTGTGTGATATATGTGATTTCGTTCATTCAGTACGTATTCGTGATTAATTGGAGTGATATTATGATTATAATCTGATAAGTTGATGTTGATGCGATATAGATATTACTCTCATTTATTTTATCACATTTATCATATTTACTAGATCTATTGGAAAAGAGATCCCAATATCATTGTCAGCTACTGGCTGGGTTATTTGTGATGTTTATATACTATGCTTTGTTTACTTTTTATTCGTGAGTACTTTTAAAACAAATTCAACGTCTTCTCTCTCATCTAAAGTTGACGTTGAAATAAAATCAGTGTGGTGAAATAATTTCATCACGATTGGTGAAATAATTTCACCACGATTGGTGAAACTGGTGGTGAATTGGTGAATTAATTTCACCAGTATCTCTAATCCTCATCCATGTAACTAACTTATACGCATGCCATGAAGGTTGCTTATGAACAAGAATTCCAATATAATCAAGAACGCATGCAAAAATCCTTGGATGAGGTATCGTATCTATACATCTGATATTAAATGTGTCTTTAAAAAAAAAGGTTATGTCCATTTTACAAGTAACATCCTACCATCCGTTTTAATTTAGGCAAGATCCGCAGAAACCGCAAAGTCCATGTTCATTTCTAATGTTAGTCACGGTAAGATTTATGAATATTATCGATGTTTTTTGACTTTATTGCAAATATATAAATACTTAAAAAATCAATGGTTTGTTATTTCCTTTAAACGTTGCATATGGTTCGTAATGTTATGCAACTGTTGTCATTCATAATATTTATGTGAATGTTGTGCATAAATAACGTGTATTGATTATTTCGCGTATATGCTGGTATCAACGAAAAAAAATTTCAGAATTACGAACGGTATGTTTTACTTAGAACTCAAAAACCATCAGCTAACAATAGATAAAAGCTAATTTAATATTCAAATATTTTATCATTTGAATATATGCTAAGCCTTTGCATGGTGAGAACATATTAAGAAATTTAATTAATTTAAAAAAACTTGGTTCGCGTTTAGATATTTTAAACCGACCTATAGTTTCATAAACCAAAATTTAATTTTTTAACGCTATGAAACCGGGCGTAATTGTTGTCTTGATAGGTATACTCGCAACCGTCGAAATTTTATCAAACACAAAATTAAACGAATCTCAACGAGCATTACTTAATGCTATTGAAAGTTGTGGAACGAATTTAATTTCGGTTTATTATTTGTTATTTATTATTATCGTTATTTTTAAATGGTAATTTCTTTCTAACCCTGTTTTGTGACTATATAGGTAGTTAATCAGGTATTGACATACGCAAAAATTGAACATGGCAAGATGGAACTGGTAATGTTTAAATCAACATATATTTAAACAACCATTCCATTCTTGTACTAACTAACTATGGTTTATGGCAAAGGAAAAAAATATATTCGATATTTATACAGTGGTGCAAGAAATCGGGGATGGTTTGTTGATGTATTTTCCTCTTTTTTTTCTTTTTTTTAAAAAAAAGAAAGGGTCTTAATTTTTTTATGAATAGGTTTGGCGCCAATTCCTGAGCGGAAAAAATTAAATTTCAACATATATGTAGAAATGAATCCACTGCATAGGTTTCTTGTCGGTGATGTTGGAGTCTTAAGGCAAATCATATTGAATGTAATTTTTTTTATTTTATTTTTTTTTTATGAAATTGCTTTTTCTTTTTTTTTTTTAATTTGGTTTTATGTGTATTAATTAGTTTGTTGATCAAATGATAGCTTCTTGGAAACGCTGTGTGTACAATTATTTTTAATTAACTGCACCGCGAAAATCAAGAAAAATTTTATTCTTAACATTTTTTTAAATCACAGATTAAGTTTACTGATAAAGGAAGTGTTGAACTAACTGCTGTTGAAATAACTGATGAAACTGAGTCTAAGAAAGATAACGTAAAAAAGATTTTATCTTCACTGTTACCCGAAAGTGAGAATAGTGATAGTAGTGAAAGTGATCCAGAAACACCAATAGTCAAGTTTCGAGTAGAAGTAATTGATACTGGACGTGGAATTGACCCTGATTTTATGAATCATATGTGTCAACCGTTTTCTCAGGTTTGTTAGAACTTAAGTTATTGTTGCATTAATTTTATTGCAAACTAATCTTTATAAATAGGAAGATTCATCTTTGCGTAGAAAATTTGAAGGAACGGGGCTGGGTCTTAGTATCGTTAAAGGTAAATTAACATAAAGCCAGACTTCCCTAAGTGTAACTCGTTGGGACCAACTTTTGAAATCATACATTTATAAAACAATAAGAAAAATTTTGTGTCAGAAATATACTTGGGCCATAGCTTTCGGTTACATTTAAAGAGATACTGCATTTAGGGAGGTTGGACTGTAATAGTTTTAAAAAATGACAAAAAAAACAATTAACAAGTCATTATGCAGGTCTACTAGATATGATGTACAGCCGTTTGGAAGTTGAATCAAGCCTCGGAGTTGGTAGTAAATTCTCTTTCGTTCTCGAGCTTCCTTTATCTCAAAAATGGGAATCCCTTGCACCTTCTCAATTACCATTCGATCATCAATATCTAAAACTTCCCCCCGAAGAACAAAATCGACTAACTTCTCATTCACAGTCTTTATCCTTTGCTGTACTGCAATCTGAAAATACCTTATACCTGCGACGAATAACGTCTTATTTAGATCAATGGGGATTTAAATATCGAGTAATAAAGAAAGAAGATTTGAAGGCTGAGTGTGAAAAAGAGCATGCGGACATTGTGATCTTAAATGATAGTATTGGTGATTTGGAATGGTTTTTGGACGAGTTTGTGCAATTTTATGGACCTATGAAAAGTAGTAATGAAGGGGGTGAGAAAAGCGTGAAGCGGGAGCATAAAGACGAGAAGAAACAACGGATATTGTTCTTTTCAACGATCGAAGATTATCAGAACGCGCAAAATGCATTACAAAAGTATAAAGTCCAATTTGCTGTTGTCATATCAAAGGTAAAACAAACAAAAAGGAAAAAAAAAACCCCCCCAAAAGGCAAATTGAATAATATTAATCCAATTTTATATTACTATTATTATTAAAAAGCCGGCCGGTCCAGTAAAAATTTTAACGGGTATAATAAAAGTGATAGAGTCTTTACTTTCACCCACGTCCGAAAATATATGTGTAATAAAAGAAGAGCCTGCTGTATGTAATTATTCGCAAGCGCAAGAAGTATATCTAGGCGGTGAATTATTATTTTCATCAAGTATATATGGACTAGCAGCTGATAAGACAGAAGAGTTTCCGATCAGTGTTAGCAGCGAAAAAGCTTTAGTGAACCCTGTTTATAGTACGGATGATGATACCAAAAGAACGGAACCTACTGGGGTACAATCAATTGAAGAACAATCTTCAACAGTTGAGAAATCCGAAGGAAAGAAAGCACATTTAACAAAGGGCAAAGAAAAAGAAGCTAATGAAAAGACTTTGAAAGATATATCGTTTCTTATTGTTGAGGTTGCGTTTTCTTATGTCACAAAAAAAAAAAAAAAAAAAAAGAGAAAAGCAAGTTTATACTTTAGTACTTTATGCACAAACATTATTAATCTTACTTTTTATTATAAACCTTCATAGGATAACAAGGTTAACGCAATGATTTTAAAAACAATGTTAAAACAAACCGGGTTTAATAATTATGATGTGGCTATTAATGGACTTGAAGGTCTATTACTTAGTATTTTTTTTTTTTTTAAAAGTATCTCTTTAAAAATGCGGAATTTTTTCTTTTATACAAACAGCGGTCCAAAAATTTTCTAAGAAATTATATGATATAATATTTATGGTGAGTCCGCGTGAATTAAAATGACCGAATAATGATGAGATTGCAGTAATATAACTGCGGTTTTTGGTGACAGGATTTACAAATGCCGATTTGTGATGGGGTATGCTATTTTATTTTTTCAAATCAAAAAAAAAAAAAACATCATGTATAAAATGAAATGAATAAGTATATTGTTAATTATTTTGTTTTTTTTTTAATGCGTAGATTGAAGCAACAAAAGAAGTAAGTTTTCGTGACAAATAATTTGATATTTCTTTGTGCTACTTAAATCCATCAAAAAAAAAAAAAAAAAAAGAAAAAAAAAAAATCGTTTATTTTACAAAGATTCGAAAAATAGAAAACGGCGAGGAGTCATATTTGATAACTGAAACGCCAATAAGTTCTGATATACTTCTAACGAGCACAGATAGGAAACGCCGGAAAAAAGCGATTATTATAGCAATGACTGGACTTGCTTCTGAAGTATGCATGAAAGAATTTTTTCCTTGAAGTGTTGGCACTGAATTAATTATTGGTTTGAATTATCTTTTATCATTGGGGAATATAGGAAGATAGTGAAGCTGCGGTATGGAGTTTGACCAAGAAGTTGGACAACTTTAATAAATATATATATGCTAATTATTATGATTCTTTTTTATGATATAGGAAGCAGCTGGATGTAATGAATTTTTAACAAAGTATAGAAATAATTTTTTTTTTTGTAAATGTTCATTATTATTAATACTAATATCAAATTCACAAATAAGACCTGTATCTATAAAAACTCTAAATTCGCGTATGGAATGTTGGACTCGAGATGTACTAGAATCTGACAAAAGAGATGTTATCACAGAAGAGGCAAAGCCACAAGAAGAAAAAGAGCAGCAATATCCACAAATGGAGGAGGAAAAACTCGATCAACCACAAAAAGAGATGGAAACGAAATCAGAGTCACAACAACAACCATTAGGGCCGATATGATTTTTGTTTGAGGTGACAATGACGGAAAGTTTATAAGATTATATACAGTAATGCATGCATATATTTTAGATATTACATAACACTAAGAGTAATTAGTTTAATAACATCGCTTCCTGTGATGTATATAGTACTTATTTCATTTTTGCGTAGGTGTGCCCAATTTTTAACCCTACGCATGTAGTTAAATATTCGTTTTTTAAGAGAATAATAGTGGAAATTTTGGCTGTTTATAACGATACAAAATTAATTATGCTGGATTCTCGTATAACATATCAGTTAGTATTATATATATATATATTTGAATTTTTAAGATACTTTGTATCGTGTTCAATTTTGCAATAAAACTTTTTTGTTAAAGTTATGCATTCATACATTTATATTGCCGTTTCAATATTTGTGAGGCAATGAGGTGTAAGAAGGCATATCTATCTTCTATACATGTATAATGAGTATAGTAGTGTCTTATTTTCACGAGTAATGCAAACTCCTAAAGTCTGCCTGACGTAGGTCCGAACACTTGCAAAAGAAATACTCGAGAGCTAATGTTCAGATCATCCTTGCACTAATTAAAATGACGGAAATATTATGTGACAATCTATAGCTATAGCCTCTAATGCTACGCTTATTTTACAAAATTAAATTTCCTTTTTTAGTTTGTGTTACTCGCGAAAATAGTGACGTATGACGCGTTTTTTTCGAGTCAGAAGATCAAAAATTTGTGACTTAATAATTTTTGATACATATATACCTAGCTGCTAGTAAAAATGGATATGTAACTGATAAATCAATCAAATTATCAGACTTGAATACAGGAATAAAGTAATAATTGTCACTATCGAATTCAACTATTCGCGAAAAAAACTACTTTAAAGATTATTACCATATATCTGATATGGACAGCGGAGGCACGTAAATTAGTTGAAGGGTTGTAAGTATAGGTGTATTTGTGGTTTAATTTTTTTTAATTGAAGTAGATAGTATAGGTATAATGAAAAGGTATAATTGACTTGATCACTGATTCATTATTAGTTTTATGTTAATTAAAGTACTTTATATAGGCAAAAGATGAATACCGGTATTTATAAACTGAATTATTTGAAATAGATCATTCAAACTTGATAATGAAATAGAAATTCATCACAGTACCGCTTAATGAACGAACAAAATATTGGCGTTAGCATAGAGAGATATCCGAATAATTATCTGAATAACTATACATTATCCAGGTAAAATATCTGTTGAATGAAAACATTATCTGCTATCTGGATAATTCGGATAGGATGTTCAACAGAGGTGGTCTGTAAGTATAAAGAATACTCATTAATCTAAGTATTCATAATCTTTACCATTCACTCATGACAATAATTAGTCGATGGAATAAAAATCATTGTACCACAAAAATCAGCCTATCCCGATCAGTTAAAATTCACGATATTTGCTAAGATCTTCTTTCTCTCTATTCCACCTTGATAAGCCTATATATCTTTCCCTAAGTCATTACAAAAGCATTTCGTTGCCCAACGTATGTTTTTCAGCCTCAGTAACAATCGAAAATTTATCTAGGGGTTGGAGCCGTTATTCGTTTAACCTCCTTTAACCGTTTATACGGTTAAACGACTAAAAACCGTTAAATTATTCGCTTAACCGTTTTTTCGATTAACCAATGACTCACGTGAATATTCAAGGGGATAATATTTGTGATTCAATTACGCAATATTATAATTTTTTGAAGTTAAGTTTATCACAGTGAAAACTTAAATGTTCACTCTTGGTTCTAATTTGGCGGCGCTCATATATTATTATATTATGAAACCATTTATCTTTATGCTATAAAAAAATTTTATACTCTGAGCTTTCGCTGATTTCCAGTTCCTAACGATTGCATTTAAACGATTAAATATACGGTTATATGGCTACAATTAGGCGGTTAAACGATCAAACGACTATACGATTATTAATCGTGTAACTTGTAATTAAACGACGCGATTAACGCCAGAATAATTTTTCGCGGTTCCAATCCTTAAATTTATCAGGACCTACTCCACTATTATATGTTTAATGGCATATTGATAAAGACATTCCATATTATTTGAATCTGCTTTTTGAGCTTTATACATTTACCTGTGTTGGATCTTTTAAATTTGTTTCTGGCAATTATAATTTGCCCGGATTTTGATTATGCAAAAAATATATTAGTTTTTTTTTTTAACGTCATTATGATCATAAAATTTCATGCATAAATAGATTAACTTCGCTACCAAAGTTTCAATCAAAAATATTATATATTAAGATATACGCAAGAGAAGAAATGTATAAAATAAAAGGCTGAACTTTAAGCCATCTCGATAAGTACAACATTAAAATCTATTGCTAGATCACATCTAAGAGTAATATAATGGTTCCAATCCATTTGGTACCAGATTTTGTTGTTATTCAAATCCCAATGACAAACATATGGTACGCTGGTAGGACATGTAGGTTGACTAGCTGCATGAGTTGTACTAATTCCAGGATTAGGATTAGCATGAAAGGGATCTAGTCCAGTAGGAAGAGCTATTGCCACAAATTCTAAAAAATACTGCTGGTTATATTTTTTTCAAATCTAATTCTTTAGGCATTGTGGATTTTTTTCTGTATGTTGAGATCACCAAGTTCTTTAACAGGAAATTTGATCTTCACAATGCCCGTGTCTTGTCTATTCAGTTCTTGTTTAATTTCATCACGAACCTTTAATAAAAAGACCATTAGCCAAAGCTATTTTGTTTTCTTTTTTTTGTAAACTAAAATTGTTGAGTAATGAACACTTTGATTGGTTATTTTTTGTATAACATTAGAAGGGTACCCGAAAAAATTCTTTGGCTCCCATATTAGCAATAGTCATTATATTAGAAAAGTGTATTACAAGCAAACACTTAAGGGAATTAGGACAGAGCCAACCACAATTTCAACAGTAATTACAAAAAATAATTACTAGAAAACTTGATACAATAATTATAAAATAATAAATGTTAGAATTGGAATGTGCAATATCAAATGGGCTAGGTGCTACAGAAAAGAGAAAATCAACAAAACTAAAAGATCTTTGAAAGATCAATTTTTGTTATAAATTTTATAATAACATAAGAAAATACAAACTTTAAAGAACTATATTACAAAATTTCATTAACATAACTCTTTTGTGTTTTAAGTGAAAATGATTCTAATCTTATTTTAAATTGATTTGTATAAAAAATAGTTTTTCCCAATGCCACCTTAGAGGTTGTTGGTGCTATCTTGCCAATTACAGATTTACATGCACAACCTTTGTATAATAGAACCTTTTGTAACAACTATCATTACACATAGTGCCAACTACTCTACAATAAACCTCTTTCTGGAAATTTCTAATCCAGATCTGTATTTCTCATGGCAGATACTTCCAAATATTCATAGATAAATATACCTACTAGGACTTGAACCCAAGACTCACTTGTAAAGAGTTGGGTATCTAGATTACTAGGCCACAAAATTCTATCCCTATAGTAAGGAAGCTGTCAAATATCAGCTAATATCATAGAGTAGGGGAGGTATAAAAATATCTCAGGTTTAATTTTGGCCAGCATTAATTCATAATTCCGGCTAAACACTTTCAGCCAACCAACATTCGACATCTATTATGTAAACATATTGTAATTAATATGATTGGCTAAAAAGCATATAATACAAAGCACAATTTTTGCAATTTATTTAAAGATATGACGAAATCTTAAAGCTATACAATATTAATATATTTTTCTCTATACTCTGTTATTTTATTGTTCTTGTCATTAGAAATTTAAAACTGAATTTTTTTTTCTTTTTTTATATACACAGCCTCCAATATACTACTCAATGTCTGAGATACTGCCACGATTGTTACTTTCTGGTGTAGTTGAAGTTAAACTTAAACTAAAATCATCAAGTGAATTTAAAAGTATGGTACGTTTGCTTGCTTTACGTTTTTTTTGTTTTATATGTTCATATTTTTTATAAGTTGCAATCATCTTGAGCGTAAGGAAATATTTTCCACACACAGTATAGCAGAGACAATGATGCATTTTAGATGAAATAGATAGACAATAAGCATTATATGCTGGTAATTTTAGTATATCAGCATACTGTAAAATATGAACTAAATTGAGAAAATGTCTGTTCTGGCCTTTTGAAACTAGTGGAAGAAAGCTATTATTTTCTGCAAGAAAAGTAGCAGATTCTTCATGCCTTCTAGGATGGCAGCAGGTTAGATCATCCCATTTTCGAATATCGAGACTATACTGACAAATTTGTATATATCTTTCCAACTATTTCCAAAACATTATTGACTCTTCTTCATTATCTTCTATTTGAAATAGCAGAAAATTACCTTTAACATATTGGGTCATAATATTTTTCCCAAAAATTAAGTCTTTGTTCCAGAGTGTATACAAGTTTTCTCCGGCATGACGAAAGTTTTTTTTGGCAAGCTCTTGGTTAATAACTTTACTCTGGCTATCCAAGTGAGAACCAAATATATCTACTAGTAAAGTTATACTAGCAAGCTTTCCAGAAAGTATGCACATAGCTCGTTCTACAGGGTTATAGGCTGACTGGCCAGGGGCATGGGTCCTTATTGTGAGGTAGTCAAGATTAAAAAATTGAAACAATTTACAATATCTACAAATGTTCTTCAGATATCTAGGATTTTCATCGGGCCTCTATCAACGAGAAGAACCCAAATTGGCTTAATCTGGTCATTATTTTTAAAAATATTGGTAAAGGATTCTTGGTTGGTAAGTGTAATTAAATCTGCCATGTGCATATTAGAGCTTGTACCGACATTATGTTGGGGGTGAACAAAAATAGCCAACTGGCTCTTGCGAAATGTATTATTAGAATCTAAAGGGTCAATAGCAATATATACGGAGGGAATCAGTTTTTGATGAGTTCCTAAAGGGAAATCATGATTAGCAAGAGTGATAGCTTTATTAATAGTTTGTATTGTT